AATGCCAAGGGCAAAAGACAAAGAGAGAATCTTACAAGCAGCAAGAGAAAAAAAGTCAGTTACCTACAAGGGAGTACCCATAGGACTGTTAGCTGATTTCTCAACAGAGACTATGCAGGCCAGAAGGGAGTGGCAAGAAATTTTCAAAGTGATGAATAGCAAGAACCTATAACCAAGATTACTTTACCCAGCAAAGCTATCATTCAGAATTGAAGGTCCGATAAAGAGCTTCAAAGATAAGGAAAAGCTAAAGGAGTTCATCACCACCAAACCAGCATTATATGAAATGCTGAAAGGTATCCTTTCAGAAGAGGAAGAATAAAAAGGTAAAGATACAAATTATGAAATACACATCTATCAACAAGTGAATCTAAAAATTAAGTGAATAAGTAATCTGATGAACAGAATAAACTGGTAAATATAATAGAATCAGGGGCATAGAAAGGGAGTGCACTGACTATTCTCGTGGGGGGGGAGGGGAAGGAGTGTGGGGGGGTGCAGGAAGAGACTGGTCAAAAATCGTGCACTTATGGATGAGAACAGTGGGTGGCGGGAGTAAGGGCAGAGGGTGGGGTGGGAACCGGGTGGAGGGGAGCTATGGGGGGAAAAAATAGGAACAACTGTAATAATCTGAACAATAAAGATTTAATTAAAAACAAACAAAGGTGGGTAATCTGGTCAGAAGTCAAATCTTCCAAGTGCATGCAAGTTGCTCCTTCCAGGGGGTCCGGACTGAATGTTCTAGAGCATCTCCAGGAAGGCCTGCAGGGATGGTGCCTCCTCCACATTCTGGAAGGTGTTCTGGACTCTGCCGTACAGGATGAAGTGTTTCATCTCCAGCCAGATGAACCCCAAGTGGTTCTCATCAAACAGGATGAAGACTCCAGGGAAGCGCCTGGGGTAGGAGAAGCCATCTAAGGTAACAGTGTCCAAGCCATAGAAACACATCCTGCAGGTTCGGGGGTAGTTCTGGTCTCTTGAGCTCACGCCCGCAGGCAGAACAAACGGAACAGGCTGCTCCTCCAAAGCTGCAGCCCTGTACTCCCTGACGCTGGGCTGGGCAGGGCTCTGCCAGCCATGGCCCTCGCTTTCCTCAGTCCCGTCTTCTTGCTGCTGCAGCTGCTCCCGGATCACCTGCTCGTCAATCTCCTGGACCACGCGGAAGAGCTCGTTGAAGTTGCGGAAGATCTCGCCATCTCGCAGCTGGATGCGGTGCATGAGGTGGATCTCTAACCTTGGGTTGCAGTTTCCCGTGACCTTCGTGACCCTGGCATACTTCCCATGGAAGCTGAGCATGGCAATCGTTAGGCCATAGCCATCGTATTTGCCTTGGAAGAGGCCTGGCCTGATGAGGTCGTCCGGGTGGCTGGGTGGGAGGTAGAGGCGGCGGTAGGTCAGGCAGTCATACTGCTGTCTGTCCTCCTGCACCAGCACCAGCCCCCATGCTTCCCTAAGCTGCGTTGGTAAATCCTTTTGGTGGTCTGTCTTCTTGCACTGGATGCTGAACCTGTCCTTCTGAATCTGCACGTGGCGGCTGTGGGGCCTGCTAATGCGGCCTTCCATGCACTCCACCGTGGCTGGTTTCCTCTCCATCAGGCGAATTCTGAACGAGGGCTTGAATTGCATTGGGCGATCCACATGGGTGTTAAGGCAAGACCAGTACGTCCAACCAGTAATGCATAAGCCGTCCACCACGACATTCACTAGTGTTCTATAGTACTCAGTATCTAGCTGCCACAATCCCAAAATGTGTCTGCATGGGTGGAGCAGCTTCGCATAGAGTTCTCGATAAGACATACCTATCGTCTCCAGGTTCTGTAAGTTTTCACAAACGCCAAACTCCTCGCGGCAGCGCCGTCTCCAGATGCTGTCCATGTGCAGGATGTGGTGGAATTTGGTGCAGGCCTGAGCCAGGCTGGGCAGGTCGGTGCCGGGGAGCGAGGCGAAGATCTCCACCAGCAGCTCGGGAGGCAGGTCCTGCAATGAGCAGTGCAGGGGCGGCGGGGGCGACATGGGGCTCGCGATTCCTCCACTCCCCGCACAGCACTGCGCTGCCGCATCCGCCTCGACGTGCTTTTCTGCTGGAGCCGGGGCAGGCTTGCCATCGGCCGCTGCCGTCTCAGCTGGGCCTTGGCGCTGCTGACAACACCGACATCCCCGCGAAGAGCCCACACCACAGATGTAAGCGCACTCCTCCATGCCTGGATGCCTAACAGCCACCACAGTGTGGGCCGCTGTGCCTCAGCCTGGCTTTAAGCTGGCTCGTCCCACCACGCCCCCCAGGGCCTAGCCACGCCCCCTCAGAGAGGAGCCAATTGTAGGACTTCATTAACAGTCCCCTCCCTTTCCCAGTGCCTCCTCCCGCCCTAGCCT